ATGAAAACATATTTTGGTATTTAACTTCTCGGAATTCTAGGATTGTAAGTATATTATGAAAAATAATAGTATTGATTCAAATTTAACTTTTAGTTGTAATTGTAGTTGTTTTTGTAACACTAATTCTTATAGCATTGTTTGGGAAGGAAGTGCATTCGGAGCATTGTTTCTGATATATGTAGTTATTGTGTTCTTAATGTTTGTGGTATTTCTTAAAGCTAAGCAGTGTTATATACGTAGCAAAGAGTTTTAAAATAAAATTGTGTTGTATGAATTAAGTGTGTAATCATTGTGAAATCGTGCAATCAGCTAACTACTCCCCCAGCCAGTGCATCAAAACGAATCAGTAAATTGTATGGGATTTTCTCTATTCCATAACCCACTAGAGACACTAACTTCCACACTCCCCTTCCACCACAACACAACACACTTACCAGCTATACTGAGAGCAGCGTGGTGGAGGAGGGGCAGCAAGTGACCAGCTGATTCTAGATGCATCTGCACATCTTGGCTACTGACCTGCACCGTGTAAAAGTGAATCCATACCATGTACAAAAATAAAGTGTTGCAATTAATTGACTGTGCATAACTGAACACGTGCAAAAAAATACCATGTAATTTGAGGCCTGACTTTATTAGCTGACACTCCAGCACAGACCTGAAGAAGGTCATCTTGTGATTGGATCTCTAAGGGCACTTACAGATGTTATATTCTTCACATAATAAGGCCCCTGAAAGCACTCTACAGTTATAACATAACAAACATTCACAGCTGCAGAGCACTCTTAAAATGGCTGATTGCACAAAAAATTAACCCTCGTTAGATCAGCTGTTAGCTTAAGGTGCTCTCCGGCAAAGCGCATTAGGGAACTTCTCTACAGGTTCCCTGCAAGGGTTAACAGCAGGTGATTCTACCCACATCCCATGCACCTTTGTGGGGTTGGGCTGGTGCTTACCTGGGCAAGCACCAGCTCAGCCCCGTCCCTGGGTCTGCCATAGGGAAGAGACAGAGAGTCTCTTCCCTGTGCAGTGGAGGAGGAAGGGGGAGAGGGAGGAAGGAGTTGGGAGAAGGTATCCCTCTTAACTCATTCATGCCTGGAGATGGGGCGGGGGTAGGATCTGAGCCCCCATGCCCCATGCGCTCAGCCCAGCTACACCTGCTGGGGTCTTGTGGGGGGGGGGGGACAGGGGGGGGGGGGGCAGATAAATCCCCCCCCC